GTAGCGCGCGACGCCAGCCCGCGCGCACGGTGTCGGTTGACCCTCCCCGGAAATGCTGCGTCCCCGGGCGTCGGAGGCGTAGGGAGTGCTTCCTGGAGCACAGAGGAGGTCACAAGTCATGTGACGGCGGCTTGCGGAGGAACCTGTCTTGGAAGCTTGTCCCTGAGGCGGTGGACAGCCACGAACCTTGCTGCGCAAAGAGCCGGGTAACTGGGCCCCTTTGCCGGATGGTCAGGCCTGGGCCCGCGGGTGGCGCGGGCGCTGAGCTGGAAGAGGAGTGGACGGCCCTTCCCCTTCGCTGGGGACTTCGATCCAGGGGGCTGGGGAGGTGGAGTGGGCTGAGGCGTGTCGGTGTCCGGGAACTCTGGCTCCCTTCGGTGTCCGCCAGTCCTGGAGGCGCGGGTTCTTGCCGCTTGCTAGGGTCGCGGTGGGGCGCGAGGGAATCTTGACGGGAGAGTCACCAGGAGTTTCTTTTTCAGGCGTGGATCTTGAACCCACGAGAGAAAGGGGTGCATCATGGCGGATGTGAGTTACCCCCCAGCACAGGAGGAGGGAGAGGGTGGAGAGTTTGGAGGAGACTCCTGGGCGGGGAGAGGGAGCACTTCCCCTGTAGAAATTTGTTTCGTTTGGCCCCGCCCCCCGTAATTGTTTTCTGCAGGCTCTGCAGTGAGCGGCTAATATGAATGGGTTTGCCGAGGTCCTGAGTGGGTCTTGGAATGGGAGTGGAGGACACCAGGGCGCCTGTTCGTACTCCCCAAATCCCGCGGGCATAAGAGGCTCTGAACATTGCCATTTGAGTTTCTAAATTGTGGTTTGCTGCTCGGAATCCTTTTTTTCAGCAGTGGTCATGGTGTCTTTCTAGGTTCCTTGCAGCAATTTTAGTTGATTTCCAACTGACGTCTCTTTAGCGCAGTAACACAAGTCAAATGCTAAGCTTAGGTAGCTTGTGCTAGTTACTAGAAACAGCAGGGCATTAATACCCACACGCATGGTGATGCTTTACCTCCTGTTACTTTGCTTACGTACATGCTGGGTGTTCTAAATATTGAACATATATTCATTTCTTATAACTTTTGCGCGGTAGGCACTGTCACCCGTGTGATGATAAGGCACAGAAAGGTCAAGTAACTGGCCTCAGGTTACACAGCTAGTACTTGTGGAGTCCAGATACCAACTCGGGCAGTTTCACTCCAGAGTCCATGCTCTTAACCATTACACTAAATAGTCATTCAGCATTAACATGAATCTGATTTCTTTTCAGATTGCAAGATTATGTGTTTCAATATTAAGCAACATTTACTGCCCTTATCTCTCCATTTTTGGGTGTCTTCCATTATATTTTTGAGACCTTATTAGTCAGGCATAATCAAATCCCTTTCTATTGAGCATCTGCCTTGCAAAGCTTTCTGTCATAAGGGCTGAGGGTGAAATAATGAAGATTGAGGTATAATTCCTCCAGAGTTTTACAACTTAAAAAAAATACTATGCAAGGGATCATAGAAATGCATACATTACTGTGTGAAAATTTCAAGTGATTACCTCTGGTTTGTGTCTATCAGAATAGCCTGATTGGAGTATTTGGTGGTTGATATTAGCTCTAAATGATGAGTGGCAACTTTTTAAAGAGTAAGAGAGGGAGAATATTACTACTAGAATGAATAATCTAAGCAGACTTAGGGAGAAGTATGTAGGGAAGAGCTGTGAATAGTCCAGTTTAGCTGGGGCTAAGGATATGTATGAGGGAGTGGTAGGAAGCAGGGCTGTAAACTTAGTCATAGGCCATGTTGTAGAGCAGTGGTTCTCAACCTGCGGGTCGAGACCCCTTTGGGGGTCGAACGACCCTTTCACAGGGGTCACCTAAGACCATCGGAAAACACATGTATAATTACATATTGTTTTTGTGATTAATCACTATGCTTTAATTATGTTCAATTTGTAACAATGAAAATACATTCTGCATATCAGATACTTACATTACGATTCATAACAGTAGCAAAATTATCGTTATGAAATAGCAACGAAAATAATTTTATGGTTGGGGGTCACCACAACATGAGGAAATGTATTAAAAGGTCACGGCATTAGGAAGGTTGAGATCCACTGTTGTAGAGTCTCAAATGTCTAAAGAATCGTCTATAATAATAAAAGCATAATATGCTAATTAGACCGGACTTCCTTCCTTCCGGACAAAGCCACAGTGGCTGACAGGGGCAGAGGCAGAGGTGGCCACCGCAGGAGTTTCGTGCATTTAGCCTCCAGTTTGTACATAATTCAATGTACAGTTGAGAGCCTTTCAAACATTGGTTCTGAACCTGGCTGCACAGGGAATCATCTGGGGAGCACCTCCAACCCCGGTATCAGAGTGTGTGTGTGTATGTATTAATGCTCCTCATATGTTATCCATAGCAAAGGTTGAAAATCACTGCAATTATGGCTTTAGAGAAGGAGGAAATATGACTCTTGGCACTGTGTAGAGCTGCATGGGATAGAAACATGAGATCGGTATACCAATTGGGAGGTTAGTGCAAGTCACAAATAGTAAAATGAAAGTAAATCGTATGTCCGTTGAAAAGGAGAAGAAATCGGTTTAAAAACATTGGACTTCACAGGTGATTTAAAAGTGACAAATGTGAGGTTAGGGTTAACTATTACTCATAGTTTCAAACCTGAATAATGGGGTTAGTAGTACCATTAGTGGGAACAAAATGATTGAGAAATTTGGATTTTAGATGACACCATGATAAGTTGAGATTTTCTTGTGTATGTTTAAAATGAGAGGAAAGGTAAACTGGTGGTGATAACATGAAATAAAATGAACATTAAGGTTTGGAGAATTGTAGGGTTTAGAGGTTCAAAACAACAGGTATTGTATTTATCTTTGTAGAGCTCTTAATTGATACCTGCTTGTCAATGAAATTTTCCAGATGAGAGAGTGTAATGAAACAAAGTAAAGTAGTTTTTTATTTCGTTTGTCGTAATTATGTCACATGCTAAACACTTGACATCATGTATTTAGTCATGTAAGGAAATTAAATTTCAGAGAAATAAATGAATTTACCCAGGATTGTTAAAGTGATGTGTATACATGGAAAGATACTCATAATATATTCTCAATTGAACACAACAATACCACCAGGATTTGAAATAATACAAAAGTATGACCTAATTTTACAGCTAATATATATTTGTGTTTCCCGTTTCCAGATATGCTAATCACTTTACATGCATCTTCTCAATAAACTTTAAAAACAATCTTAAGACCTAGGTTCTGCTATTGTCCCTACTCAACAAATAATGAAACTGAGGCTTAGAGAAAAAGGTTAACTTGCTTCAAGTCACACAACCAGTATCAAAATCAGAAAGGGAAAGAAAACACAAACAAGAAAGGTTAGGAATGATGACTCAAGGTCCCTGAAATGTGACTAGGACAGGACCTAGAGAATTAGTACAAGGCATGTTTTTACATGATTTGTTAATGTTCTCTTTCAGGACCTAAAGCGATTCCTGTATAAAAAGTTACCAAGGTAAAAAATTATTAATTTGTCATTAAATAAATTCTGCATAACGGTTAATTTTATGTAGCATTTTGTTTCTTGCTATTTTAGACTAAATATTGTGTGTATATAATGCTATTGTTTAGCACTTTACCTAACATAGCCCTAGGTAGCATGAATAATATCCTTCGAATTTGCAGACAAATAACATGGGGCCTAGAGAGGTTACAAGAGTACATTTATTTCTCTGTAAAAAAAACTTACCAGGAGTAGTTTGAACAGTGTTTGCTACTTCTTTCCATGTACCTTAAGATATATGAAAGCTATATGCTTAAGATAAGGAACAGGCAGCTTTTCTGTGCCATGGCAAATTGGCATGCTCCTAAGTCTGAATCAGCTTTCAACGTGTTGTGAAATATCTCCGAGAGTTCTTTAATAGGAAGCTTGTTTGCCAGTGTCATTTCCTCTGTCAGTCCCATTATCCTTTTCATCACAACCACTTTCTCATTTATGTCACTAAGTCCACCTTCACTAAGTTCTCTGGCTGTACATTTTGTGCAGAACAATGATAATGTCAACCTCTCAGCCAGCTATTTCTTTTCTAACTCCATTTAATTTCTATTCAAATTTCACTTCCAGTATTACCACTTTTCGTTTCTTTGCTATATTTCACCTTGATTGGCCTCATTTCAGTTATTTTTTTAATATCACTGGACAATGAGATAACACTGCATGTTTTGTTCTCTGCATAAATCAAACAGATGCTTAGTAATCAATCACCAACATTCTGAAAAAAGTGACGTGACTACTTATTGATCATAATGTGTGTCTGTTATATCAGTTATTTACATAGTAATGTGTGAACTAAAGAGATAGTGAAGTTAGTACTCTATATAATTATTCAGTTGATATATCATACTGAAATTTGACTCATGCTGTTGAGGGGGAATGGTGTTA